TCCCACTGGGGATGTGCCCGCAACCCAGGTACATGCCCTTGACTGGAATCGAACCTGGGACCTTTCAGTCCGCAGGCCGACGCTCTATCCACTGAGCCAAACCGGTTTCGGCAAGACACTGAATCTTGAATATCATATCATTTTACATGTAATGAAATATTGTCCTTTTTTTACTGTTCCATTGGGGAGAAAAATGTATTGAAGTCATCAAAAGGATTCAGAAAGATTCACAACTAATATCTACCTTCTATGTGCTCTTCTCTCCCAAAATGTGGTGATAAAATATGACATGTAACTTTTTTTTAAGAAAGTAAAAAATACTGCAGAAATACATCTTCTGAAGGTGGTGCCACAGGCCCTTTGCATATACTGCTCCCACTTCCTCACATCCTCCCAGAGTTAATGCCATGCAAACCCACTTCCCTGAGGAAGACTCTCCTCTCCCCCTCCCAGCCCCAGCTGCATCATGTGCCTGATATATTCACTATCCTCTCATTCTCCTCACCACATCAGTGATTTTATATTCATTTGTGTGAATCTTTATTTTTATTGATTTCAGAGAGGAAGAGAAAGAGAGAGAGAGAGCAACATCAATGATAAGAGAAAATCATTGATCCGCTGCCTCCTGCACGCCCCCCACTGGGGATCAAGCCTCAAACCCAGGCATGTGCCCTGACCAGGAATCGAACCATGACCTCTGGTTCATAGGTTGACGCTCAACCACTAAGCGACACAGGCCAGTTGTGTGATTCTTTGGTGAATGTCTATTTCACCCACTTGACTGAGAACTGGGGGCTGAGACCATGTTCTGTTTACCTTGCCCAGCTCCATACCCTCACACTTAGTACAGTGGCCACTCAAAATATATTTGTTGAGTGAATGAAAGAATGAATAAGGAGGCAGCATAATAAAAAGACTGTATGAAGCCAGATGAGGTGACTGAGGTAGGCTGGGTTGGAACAGAAAGGCCAAGGTTAAGTTGCTGCGGTATGTGATGTAAATTCTTCCTCCACTCCCCAACTTTCAGTAAAGTTTGTCGCCTTGGTGACATCAAGGAAAGAAGCAGGAACAGCAAACACACAGTAGAACTATTTAATTCAGCAGTAACCATGAGAAAATAATCATCTAGGGGTTCTCCAAAATCTCAGTGATGGGTTGGAAGGGGTTGAGCCCATTTACGTAAATCTGAAGGATCAGAGTGATGCTGGCCGTTGCTAGAGTACAATAATACTTCTTTCTCTCCATATGGGATTTTGTTGGGTGATTCAAAGCAATTTTTGGAGATTCAAACACTACAGCTCAGAGAGGGCAACTGACTATCACAAGGCCACACCCTGGATTTGGGAGGGGATTCCAGTCCAGTTTAGAGTGACCCCCAAAACCTGAACTCTCCTCTCTCCATCATGACACTGCTGGCCTCCCAGGTGGGTGACTTGGCTAAAGTCACACTGCAGCTTGGAACAGCTCAAGTCCTGCCCCATGGGGGGTTCTGGGGGGCAAAAGGTAGATCAGCTGGTGGAAGTGGCTCCAAAGCTGCTGCTGGCAACGCATGAAGAAGGACTCAATAAGACTTGCACCCAAGGTCCTGGAGGGGGCGCTCTTACTCCCAAGTGTATACATCACAGGGACTTGAGGAGTCACTGCCATTTCTGTGAACCTGCACAGTGGGATATCCCCAAGACCATCCTCACTAGGACTCACAGAACTCAGCAAAGTTGTTATACTCATAGTTTATTACAGGGAAAGAATATGGATTAAAATCAGTAAAGATAAAAGGCACATGGGATGGGATCTGGGAGAGACCAGGTACAAGCTTCGGTTGTCCTTCCTGTAGAGTTGTGAGGACAGTGCTTAGTTCTCCCAGCAATGATATGTGTGATGCACTGCCAACCAGGGAAGCTTACCTGAGTCTTAGTGTCCAGGCTTCTCATTGGGGGTTGGCCACTGTATCCGGTCCCTAGAGCTGCCATAACAAAACACCCCAGACTGGGTGGCTTAAACAATAGAAATTTATTTTCTCATTTTTGAAGGCTGAGAGTCTGCAGACCTCAAGGCGTCAGTAGGGTTGGTTCCTTCTGAGTCCTCTCTCCTTGACCTAATGAGGAAACGGAGACCTAGAGATAAAGATTCAAGTGCAAGTCGTTTACTTGGGAAGTGATCCAGGAAATGGTGGAAGGGAGGTGGAGAAGTGAGACTGGGAAGGGAATGAAGTTGGTAGAGTACATTGATATGCAAGTTTCCACTGTGGGCAGCTGGAGCTCAATCCCATAGGCACTTCTGGTGGTCACTGTGTAACATATACCTCAGTCATCCCACGTGAGGAGTGAGGGAGCTCGCTTACTTATCCACCAAATCCCATTGTCTGCCACAGAGGTGCAAAGCTCTGCTCAAACCTGGCCACCCCCCTCTACCTGCATTTCTTCTTTCCAAAATTCCGCATATATATTGGGGGCTGAATTATCCATCAGTCACTATAAGCACAGTATATCAGGTCTACAGCCAGTGAGAACATTTGGGGAAAAGAAATATCACACACACACACACACACACACACACACACACACAGGCTCCAAAATCGAAATAGCAACTACCAAAATCCAGATGAGTAATAGTACAAATATCACAAAGTGTGAAGTTTAGCATTTATAATGATTTCATTATATAGTTTGTAGATCATTTGTTCTCACTTATCAAGAATTCCTTATTGCTGAGGAAGAACCACAGCCAACTGTGAGTTATATGAGCTACATAGCCAAATAAATGCAACAGAAAAAGTACAGAAACCCTCCCAAAAGGTTTACCAAGAAAATAATAAATATTGATATGGCTGCTTTTTAATTATTTGATGTGATATGGGTGGGGTCAAGGGCTGCTCTCATCCCCACATTGGCTTCCAGCTCCTCTGAGGTCCTAGGGTACCCCAAGAGAACCCTAGTCCTACACCCGCTGCCTTAGACTTGTAAATAGGTGTTTTCTTTACCCCCAACCACTCTCCCCACTATCAGCAGCTACCTCAAAGACATCTGGGCAGGGATCTGATGAGGTGCACCCCATCCCTCTTCAGCCTGATTCCTCCCAAACACACACATCCAAGGAAAATACACAGAGCTAAGAGACTTGTGAGACCCTACCAACATATACAATGGGTCTCCCAAAAAGAGAGAGGAGAAAGGGGCAGAAAGAATAGTTGAAGAAATAATAGCCAAAAACTTCCCAGCATTGATGAAAGATATGAATCTACACATCCAAGAAGCTCAAAGATCACTAAGTAGAATAAACACATAGATCTACATTGAGACACCATAAGCAAACACACTTTCTCTGTCCAGGCCTTCTAGCCACCCATCTTGTCCAAAACTTCATCACCTGGCACCTGATCTCCTACCTGAACATTCAGCAGTGAAATAGATAAGCATCTGGTGGAGTTTCAGTCTAAACAAGGACATAGAAAAACTAGAGCAAACTACTGGTGCTATTAAGTTTAGGCTGAAGCAAGTATTCGAAGAAATAAAATACAGTGATGTAATCATGACTGGGTGGTGGTAGGTTGTCAGGGAGGGCCTCCCAAGGAGGTGCCATTGAAACTAAAGGATATGAAAGAGACAGCTTCAGAAGAACCAAGATTTTGCCCGGCCAGCTTGGTTCAGCAGTTGCGCACCAACCTATGAACTAGGAGGTCATGGTTCGAGTCCCAGTCATGGCACATGCCCAGGTTGTGGGCTCAATCCCCAGTGGGGGGGCAAGTAGGAGGCAGCTGATCAATTATTCTCTCTCATCATTGATATTTCTCTCTCTCTCTCTCTCTCCCCTCTTCTCTGAAATCAATAAAAATGCAATTTTTTTTTAAAGAACCACCAAGGTTTCTGAGGCAGAGGAAACTGCATGTACAAAGGGCCTGGGGCAGGAATCGTTTGTGAACGAGTCCCAGAGAGGAGGCTGAGGAGAGTGCTGGGGACAACAAAGGAGATGAAGGCAGAAGTTTTGTTGGATCTGGATTTTATTCTAGGTGGGTGAGCAGTCATAAGAAGACTGTTCAGCAGGGGTGTGCCATGATCTGATTTCAGCTTTTTAACTCTGGGTGCTGTGTGGAGAATGGAATGAAGGAATAAGGGGTTAACTTTTCCAAAACCACCCCAATAATCTCTCTCACCCCACATCCTCTTGCACAAGGTCACCTTGACACATCACCCACTGAGAGATGGCATCTATGTCCCTTCCCCTTGAATCTGGTGCCAGAAGTGGCACAGTGTGATACTCGAGGGTGGGTGGGCCAGGAAAGGTAATACAGTGACGGCCTTGTTCACTTTTGGAGCCCTGGATGGCTGTGTAAGAAGCCTGCACACCTCCTGGGAGGAGAGGCCCCTGTAGGTGCCCGGGTCCACAGCTGGTATCAGTTGCAAGACCTGTGAGTGAACATGCCTCCAGATGATTGCCTCAAAGTCTTTCCAACTAAGGGGCAGAGGTAGTCCGTGTCCGCTCCGCCTTGCCCCAACTCCTGACCCACCACGTCTGTGAGCATCATACAATGGCTGTTTAAGCCACTGAATTTGGGGATTGTTTGTTAAACAGCAGTAGGAACTGGAATTGGGGAGGGGACAGAATTGGATGGAGGAGGGAGGCACTGTGGCCTCCAGGAGACCACGGAAGAGCTTGCAACAGGTTAGAGCAGTATATGGGGGGAGTAGAAAGGACACGTGCAGGATGCGTTTTGGAGATAAAACCAAGAGAATGAGCGATCACCAAGGGAGAGGGGGAAAGAGGGAGGACTGGGGCCCGGGGCTGCGCCCGATAGAGATCGGAGTTGGAGCCCAGGGAGGTAGCCCAGAGCCCCCTTTCCCTCCCCTCCCGCTGGGGCGACTACAACTCCCAGCATCGCCCGCTCAGGCCGCGGGAAGGGAAAAAAAAAAGTTTGGGCCAAGCATTCCCGGAATGCGCTTCCTGCTGGCGCTGGGCGGGAGGCGGGCGGGGCGCGACGGCCCGGGCGGGGCGGGCGGGCGGGGGGCAGCGCGGCCGGACCCAGGGCTCGCACTCGGCCCGGCCGGGGCCCCAGCATGGCCGAGCCGCTGCTCAGGAAAACCTTCTCCCGCCTGCGGGGCCGGGAGAAACTTCCCCGGAAAAAGTCGGATGCGAAGGAGCGCGGTGAGCGGGACAGGGGACGAAGGAGGGGTGCCGAGCCCCGCCCGGCCTGGAGGGGGTCCCGGGGCCCAAGGAGAGGCTGCTGAGGGGACAGGGGAGCCCGGCGGAGCCGGCTGCGGGCTGGGGTGAGGGATCGGGACGGGCAGGGGTCCTGGGAGGAAGGGGCTGGGGGGAGAGGGGCGCGGACCGTTATGTGCGCCCAACCCGGGATGCCAGCGCTGCGGGCTCCTTGGGAGGCCCGGGAGGGGGCCTCGCCCCTGACAGGAAATGGGCCGATACGGTGCGCCTGGGGAGTGGAGGCGCTGAGGAGCTGGGAGCTGGGACACTGAGCCCAGTCAGGGCAAGGGGCACTCTGAGCCCGGGAGACCCGAGATAGGAGACGGGGAGCGCACTTCTGCAGGAGGGAGACCTGGCCGTCAGTCCGAGTAGCGCCCCTCACCCCTCCCACCTATTATTAACCAGTGACTGCAGCTGCCTCCACCTTAAGCCGCCCCAGGCAGCTGTCCCCTTGATACAGATGGGGAAACTGAGGCACGCCGCAGTTGGGTAATTTGCCCAGGGTTAGTGAAGTGACTTAAACAGCTCTTTGGAATATGCTCATAATAGAGAGCCGGGTAGAAATCGGAGGGGAGGGGAGGAGGGAGTCTGCAGGCACGCAAGATGGGACCTGAAAGAATTGGGAGCTGCCTCGGGCAGGAAGTCCGAGGAAGGAAGGAGTTAAAGGAGGGAGACCAGATGACTCCTGGATCGGACCTCCCCACCAGCCCTTCCCAAAGATTCCCAGAGCAGAGATGGGCCTGGTGCCCAAGCACAAACACACACAGGAAACAGCCTGGATGTCGGAGGGGAGAATGGAGCAAGGGGAGGCGCCAAGGCACTGACCAGGGTTCTGGTCTGGACTGAGAGATGACCCACTCCCGGTGGGGGCAGAATTGGAAGACAGACTTGGGGGGAGGGGGGACGTGCTGCGGGAAAGGAGAACCCTGTGCTCGAGGCCATGCCTGCTCCTGTCTTCCGAGCAAGCCAGCCACTGTGTGCTTGACCAGACATGGGGGCCTAGGAAGTGCGCCCCACGCCCAGCTCCCTGAAGCCCCCCTGGAAAGAGCATCAGATCCCCCCATGTCACAGGACACACTGGGGCTCCGAGATGGGAAGTGACTTGCCCTAAGCCGCCCAGTGAGAAGTGACAGGGCCAGGCTCCAGGCCAGGGTTAATGAGGGGGTGGAGAATCAGAGCCAGGAACACAGAGTCCCACCAGAGGACCCCTGAGGCCAGAGGCAGAGGGACGTTGGGGACCTCGGGGACTAAGACGGGGTGGACTCTAAACTGGCAACCAATCCCATTCCAAACAAGCACCCAGCCCCTGCTGGGGAAGAGCCTGGGCTGGGGCTGTTCTTTGGGGGATGAGGGCCTGCGCCTGACTGCCTTGTTCTCCAACAGGCCACCCAGCCCAACGCCTGGAGCCCAGCCCTCCAGAGCCAGAGCCCCAGGCCTTCGAAGGCTCCCAGGCTGGAGCAGAGGGGCCCCCCAGCCCTGAGGCACCTCGAAGTCCCTCACGAGGGGCCTACCTGCAGAGCCTGGAGCCCAGCAGCCGAAGATGGGTACTGGGCGGGGCCAAGCCCCCAGAGGAGGCCTGTTTGGGGCCTGGGGCACCTGGCAGTGGGGAGCCTGCAGGCGAGATCTGGTACAACCCCATCCCTGAGGAGGACCCCAGAACCCCCGCACCTGAGACCCCAGGGCCACAGCCAGGCTTAGCTGAGCCAGAGGGCGTGGCCCCACAAGGTGAGCACAAGCCTTACCCGCCCCCGACCCCCACCCTCGCTCCCCAAGATGACCACAGGCCTCAGCCCCATGCCAAGCCCAGGTTGCTGAACTCTGGTGTTCCCACAGGTGTGGCCCCTTCCAACTCCCCAACCAAAGCCTCCCGAACTAAGTCCCCAGGCCCCGCCAGACGCCTCTCCATGAAAATGAAGAAGCTGCCGGAGCTGCGGCGCCGCCTGAGCCTGCGAAGCACCCGGGCGGGCCGGGAGCGCGAGCGAGAGCGGGCCGCCCCCGCTGGCTCCGTCATCAGCCGTTACCACCTGGACAGCAGTGTAGGGACCCCTGGGCGGACGGCCGTGGCCGGGGGCTCTCGGGGCCTGCGGGCTGGGTACCTCAGTGATGGTGACTCCCCGGAGCGCCCAGCAGGGCCCCTGTCGCCGACCGCCTTCCAGCCTTACGAGGTGGGCCCATCTGCCCGGGCGCCGCCGGCCGCACTCTGGGGCCGCCTCAGCCTGCACCTGTACGGGCTGGGGGGGCTGCGGCCCGCGCCTGGGGCCACCCCGAGGGACCTCTGCTGCCTGCTCCAGGTGGATGGAGTGGCCAGAGCCCGAACCGGGCCGCTGCGCGGAGGGCCAGACTTCCTGCGGCTGGACCACACCTTCCACCTGGAACTCGAGGCTGCCCGGCTGCTGCGAGCCCTGGTGCTGGTGTGGGACCCTTGTGTGCGGAGGCACCGGCCCTGCGCCCAGGGCACTGTGCTGCTGCCCACGGTTTTCCGAGGTAGGATGCCTGGCTGCGGGGCGTGGGGGGCGGGGGATCGGTGGGGTACAGGGTTCAGCACTTCTCCCAGAGTGCCCAGCGCACTAAGCCCAGGGTGGGGGTGTGGCTTGGAGTAGGAGGCCAGGGCACAGGAGCCTGTGAGGGCAGACCCCACTTAAGTCCCCTTGTGTCTTTAGGGTGCCAGGCCCAGCAGCTGGCTGTGCGCCTGGAGCCTCAGGGGCTGCTGTATGCCAAGCTGGCCCTGACGGAGCAGCGGGAAGCACCCAACACAGCTGAGCCCCGTGTCTTCGGGCTGCCCCTGCGGCTGCTGGTGGAGAGGGAGCAGCCCCCGGGCCAGGTGCCCCTGATCATTCAGAAGTGTGTGGGGCAGATCGAGCGCCGAGGGCTGCGGGTGAGCCCCTCATCCCACACCCCAACTAGCCCCCAGACCTCAGACCCATTCCCCAGGACCCCCAATATACTGAGGCAAGGACTTCCTCCCGACCCTGCCTGGGATACTCCTAGCTCCAATCCCAGCCTAGACAAGGGCAGGAGGCCCCCCTAGACCATGGCACTCAGCCCCAAATCTATGGGTCATCCACCCAATTAGTGACACCGGATCCCAGCCCTTCTGGAGCTCAGAGTCTCTGGACAGAAAGACATGATTCCAATAACAACATACAAATATAAAACTGTGGCTGGGATAAGACTGAAGAAGCTGGGAAAGCCCAGAGCAGGACCTCACCTGCTGGGTAGTCAGGGAAGGCATCCTAGAGGAGGTGACAAGTGAACTGAAGAGGAGTCAGAGGTTGTCCAGGCAGCCAGGCAGGGACTCCATGACAGGTGTCAGAGGAGTAGGAAGGCAGCCAATGAGGCTACAGCTAGCCCCCAACTTCTCAGCCTACTGCTACCCTGGCCCAGAACTCCAGACCCCACCCCACCGAGCCCTGATCAATCTGTAGCCCCAGCAAAGACATCCCCTCTCTGCTCCCACACCTAGGTGGTGGGGCTATACCGACTATGCGGCTCAGCAGCTGTGAAGAAAGAGCTTCGGGATGCCTTTGAGCGGGACAGTGCAGCAGTCTGCCTCTCTGAGGACCTGTACCCCGATATCAATGTCATCACTGGTCAGCATGCCTCTTCCCTCCCCTGCCCGCTCCTCATTCCACCCTCACCTCATGGCAGTCCCTGTGGCCCCTCTGGGACCTCACCTCTTCTGTATGGCCTTGTTTTCACCTTCCTGCACCTGTCCTCCTCTTCCCTCCTCTCAGCCCCAGCTGGCCCCTCCAGAAGCCAGGCTTGCCCTGACCAGAGTGGGCCCTGTGTTCACAGGCATCCTCAAGGATTATCTTCGAGAGTTGCCCACCCCACTCATCACCCAGCCCCTCTATCAAGTGGTGCTGGAAGCCATGGCCCGAGGGCCCCCGAGCAGGGCTCCCCCCAGCACTGAGGGTACCCGTGGGCTCCTCAGCTGCCTGCCAGATGTCGAGAGGGTGAGTGGGGCATGGGTGGGGTGGGTAGGACAAGGAGTGGGCTGACATTAGTAGAACGTTTCACCCATGCCTGGGCCGTAATGGCCACGAGCTTGGGGCATCATTAAGTAGGTGCTATTGGGATCCCCTCTTCGTAAAAGTGGAAAGCGAGGTCCAAAGCAGTTGAGTGAGTTACCCAAGGCTGCACAGCCAGGATATATCAAAAATGCACAAGGGCCCTGGCCGGCTTGGCTCAGTGGATAGAGCTTCCGCCTGCGGACTGAAGGGTCCGGGTTCGATTCCGGCCAAGGGCACATGCCTGGGTTGCAGGCTCGATCCCCAGTAGGGGGCGTGCAGGAGGCAGCCGATCAATGATTCTCTCTCATCATTGATGTTTCTATCTCTCTCTCTTCCCTTCCTCTCTGAAATCAATAAAGAAATATTTTTTTAAAAAAAAAATGCACAAGGGAGTTCCTGGCTGTAGGATCCTGGACAAGTCCAGACCCTCTTTGTGCCTCAATACCCTCATCTATAAAATGGGATTAATATCGACCCTGCCACACACACAGAGAAATGGGTTCAAGTCCAAGCTTTGTCATTCCAAAGCTGTGACCTTAGGTCTCCCCTCCAGCAAAATGGAATCATAATACTAATACCTGATGGTTAAGTCTTAGCTGTCATCTCCCAGCTGTGAGACCTTGAACCTCAGTTTTCCCATTCCGAGCTGCCTTAGTCTCCCTCATGCCCTCCCAACCCTTTCCCCAGGCCACGCTGACGCTTCTCCTGGACCACCTGCGCCTCGTGTCTTCCTTCCACACCCACAACCGCATGACCGCGCAGAACCTGGCTGTGTGCTTCGGCCCCGTGCTGCTGCCCGCGCGCCAGGACCCCGGCAGGCCCCGCAGCCGCAGCTCTGGCCCGGGCCTTGCCAACACAGTGGACTTCAAGCGACACATCGAAGTTCTGCACTACCTGCTGCAGGCCTGGCCAGGTGAGTCCGCCCCCCCCCCAGCAGCCAATCAGATTCTCAGGCTTCAAGTAAGCCACGCCTCCTCATCAGAGTAAACCAGTGCCTGGTTGCCTCAGCAACCAGTTCCTATCCAGCCAATCCAGGCTTGACGCTGCTTTTCAACATGTCAATCAGAGATATCGTGAGCTGGCTGGTTACCTAAACAGCCAATCAGAGGCCTGGCTGCCGCCTCTATGTCCTGTCATCACAAGCCCTCCCTCTCCCTCTGCAGATCCCCGCCGGTCCCCGGAGGCTACGGACCTCGACCCGTACTTGCGGCCCAAACAGCAGCCGCCGCTGCACTTGCCGCTGGCGGCTCCTGAGGTAGTGACTCGGCCCCGCGGTCGGGGCGGCCCCGAGAGCCCTCCGAGTAACCGCTACGCCGGCGACTGGAGCGTTTGCGGGAGGGACTTTTTGCCCTGTGGGCGGGACTTCCTTTCCGGGCCCGACTACGACCACGTGACGGGCAGCGACAGCGAAGACGAGGAGGCAGGGGAGCCCACGGGCGCCGCAGACTTCGAGGATGACTTCGAAGCGCCCTTCAACGCGCACCTGAACCTCAAAGACTTTGATGCCCTCATCCTGGACCTAGAGAGAGAGCTTTCCAAGCAGATCAATGTATGCCTCTGAGCCGGGCGGGGCGGGACCCCGATACTAAGGGCCGGGCTCCTGGTTGCTAAGACAGTGCCCTAAAGATAGAAAGGGACCAGACCTGTCTTTCAGGCTGGGGAGTTGCCTAGCGACCAGCCAGCAGATGCTGAGATTTAGTTTCTCATTTCCAGTTCTAAATTATTTGGGTACTGGTTGCAAAGGCCAGGGACTGGAGATTTGGGGACCAGCTGTTGTGGCCATCTTTTCTGAGGACCAAGAGCATCTCCCCCTTGCTGGGCTGGCCTCTCTTGCCGCCCCTTGGCCCGGGCAACACCAGTTAATGTGAGCATCACCCTGGGATGGTGAGACACCCCCCAGTCAATCCTCTTGCTGCTGCCAACCAAATCAGTATTAGCTTTGAGCATTGCACTCTGCTTCTCCCTCCCTTTGGGAGGGCCCAAGGACTATGAGGAGGTGGTTTGGGGTGGGGTCAAGAGCAGCCCCTACCTGGGCTCTGGCTGGATAGGGGCGGCCTGGGCTTATAGAAAAACAGTAGGTTTCCCCACTCTCTCCCAGGGAAAACCCCACAATTGCCTCAAACCAGCATATTGAGATCGTAGAGTTTGGCCCTTCCCCTCCCCAGTTCTTCCTCGGCGTCCTTGAAGAAACTGAGCACTTATAAGACCTCCCTTTGGAGGGGCCCCACCTGAAGTGTCAGGATGGGGCACTTTGGTACGGAACGTATTTATTGCCTCTGTGTGTGTGTGTCTGTGTGTGAGGATGCGAGTGCATGGACACGTCTGGAGCAGACGTGTGGGGCTCTTTCAGGGACCACAGAGCCGGGGGAGGGTTCACAATGCTGAGTACCCTGAAATCCCCAGTACTGGTGCCCAGTGGGAGAGAAGGGTCCCCTTCTGTCTACCCCCCACTTCCCCTCACTTCCATCTTTGTGAACAATAAATCAATATGCACAGGTTCTGGGATGAGTACTTGGGCCCACGTGGACCGGGGTGGTTTATTCCGTGTGTAAAAAAAGAGAAAGGGCACAATTGGGACCACAGAGAAAAAGGCCCCAGAGCTCTCCTGTGCTTCCAGGGAGCCTCTGTGAACCCTGACCCCTCCAGCCCTCCCTGGCCTCAGGGAGGATTATAGGGTCACTGAGCCCCACGGGATAGCCCAGAGCAGGCAAGGAAGAGACTCCAGACCAGCTAAGTAGTCCAGGGGTAGGAAGGCACCCACGAGGCCCTACACAGCAATGGAGCCATCGCGGAAGTCTGTCCTCCCAATGAGGATATTGACGACGACTGGATGGCCATCTCGGCACTGCTGCTGGGCATCACGAAGCACCTTCACCACCTGGTCCTCATTCTCCCGTGAGAGCAGCAAGCCCTGGGCCCCCAGACCCATGGCTGCTTTGTGATAATCTAAAAGGGGAGATCAAGTCAGATGGTGGCAGGGACCCAGCCGACCATGCAGCCAGCCCAAGAGAGACACACAGCCGAGCCAGGGACAGCCTCCCCCATGCCAGGCCCCTCACCAGTGTAGGCCAGGCCACAGGCCACATTGCTGCCCAAAGAGGGCACCTGCTCCCGAGAAATCTGGGTCCAGCCAGCATCATTCCCTATCAAGGCCATCACTGGGATCTGCAGGGAGAGGATGAGGCCAAGCCACAATACTCAGCCCCCAGGCTTGGCCAGCCAGAGGACCTCCGCCAGACAGAAGCAACCCCCTCCCAGCCCAGCCCACCCAGATGACATCTCCCAGAACCTCAGGCTTCACCTGGGGCGGCCGGTTACCTTGTGTCTGACAAAGGTGTCAAATTCGATGAGGCTGTACCCAAAAGCTCCATCCCCAAACAGGCACCAGACCTGAGGTGGGACAGGACATAGTTGGGGTTGTTCATGGCCCAAAAAGCAGCAAGCCACCTGCCTCCAGGCTCTGACTCACCTCAGCATCTGGCCGGCACAGTTTGGCCCCAAGTGCAAATCCTGCACCAACCCCCAGAGTCCCGAAGGCCCCTAGGAGAACCAAGAGCATGTGGGTGTGAAGGGGACTGGACGGTACAAGCTGCCCCAGGCGTAGGCCCTTCCTTACCAGGATCGAGCCAGCACAGGGGGCCACGGGGCTGCACCAGGTGGGCGGCAGTGCCCACAAAGTCCCCGCCATCTACCACCAGAATCGAATTGTCAGGCAAAGTTTCTTCCACCAGCTGCAGCACCCGCACGGGGTTCAGGTGTTGGGATACAGGCATCATCGCCTTCTCCCTGCAATGGACCAGTGCAGGTCAGCAGGGCCAGCAGCAGACCTTGCTGGGAACCTACCACCACCCTCCATGTCCACCAGCCCCCACCGAAAGGACTTCTCCTTCTGCTGGTCGGCTTGCCGAAGCTCCTCTGCCCAGTCTGAGGCCCATGTCTGGCCCTGAAGGCCCTCCACCAGCTTCAACACAAAGGAGCCCACGTCTCCTGGGGAAGGAAGAGGGCACAGCTGCAGAGAGGTGGCCTCCTTCTGCCCTTTCAGCACACGAGGCCCAAGCCAACAGGAAGCCAACAGCAGCCTTGGAACAGGAGGCAAGGAGGCAGGCCAGGGGCACTCCTTGAGCAAATCGGGGAAAACATACTGGGAACCAGGTTAGGGCAGCCAGGGTGAGAGGGAGGGCAAGGCTGGAGAAACAAGATTTAGGGAGGACAAAGTGGGTTAGAAACCCAAGCCAACCTCGTCGCCAGCCTCCCCATCACACCCCAGATCATTAGGTCCATCAGTTCTTCCTCTGAAAGATATCGCTAAAAACACCTCCATCTGCCAAGTACATCTCTACAACCCAGGCACACAGAGTGCTTGTGAGCAAATATACGAGCTGGTGATGATGCACTTTCATCAACTGCATTAGGAAATAATCACCTCGAGGCTCAGAGTTGAGTTTCTCTTTCCCTGTCCATCCTCGATCCAGGCCTTGTCATTTCTGTCCTGACCCAGTTTAACAGACCCCTTGACACCGCCTGGCCCCTCCAACTTGCTGCCCCCCCAACTGCTACAGTGGGCCTTCCCAAACATGATGAATGAAACTGCCACTTCTCTGCTTGACACAGAGTTCCCTGTCACCAGCACTGCAGGGAAGCCCATGTCCTTACAATGATGGGCAAAGCAGGACACAGAAAGGCCAGGGGAGAGGACTGATCCGGGGTTGAGGTTATGACAGATTGACAGAGACCTCAGGGGCCAAGGAGTGAGCTCTCGGTCCTAACAACAGCGGGCAGCGTGAGAGGATTTGCAGCAGGGGACATGGTCACATGCACATTCCCAGGCCTTCCCTCTGGTGCACGCCCACCATGTGTTCATCCAGAAGCACTCATCAGTCTGAGAGCTGAATCTATGGCTCTGGCTGACTGGGTGCTCCCTCAGGCAAGGTCCAGAACCCAGAACCCAGCTCGAGCCAGCTGCAGCAGAGGCCAGGAGAGGGCCCAGGAGCACGTGTGTGGGTCACCCTGCACAGCTTCCTGGGGCTTCCAGAACATGTCTGAGTTGATCAACATCTCTTTCCGGTTACGGTTGACAATGATGATCTTGCTGCTTCGGCTGAGGACACGGCCATAGGACAGACGGAAGTCACACACAACTCCTAGGGTGGGAGATAGGGGAACAGTGGATGGAGGGCCAGTGTCCTGGGGGATGCCGACTACCTAATTTAATCCACCATAACAGACTGAATACAAAAGGGTGCCCGTTCTTCACCTCTCCATGGCCCCATGCGACGTGTGATGACTTTGTAGCTCCCAGCCCTTAAGGCTGGGCTGGCCTCGGGATGTGCTCTGGCCAGCAGCATGTGTCAGGAGTGCTGGCATGCGTTCCTCAGACCAGGCTTCAATAAACCTTGCAGCTTCCACTCTCCTTTAAATAACCTTGCTCCCCCCGCCCTACATGTTTCTCATCCCCCAAGTGAAGCAGCCCAAGCCAGCCTGCTGGATGATGAGGAACATGGAGGAGGAGGTAGAGAAGAGTGAGAACTCAGAATCCTAGCTGAGGCCATGCCAACCCAGCGATAGCCCCAGCCAATCCCCAAGTATGTGAGCCAGCCCAGCCTAGATCGGCACAGCTGCCCTCCTGCCTCCCCAACCGCAGACTCCTGAATGAGCCCTGCCAAAACCAGAAAACCTACCACCTTACCTGTTGGTGGGTCTTGAGAAATAATAATTGCATTTTAAGCCACTGAATTTTGGAATGGTTATTACACAGCAATAGCTAACTGATACAAGTATTATGTGTCCGGCAGACTTCAAAGCACTTTATGTGGAAATGTATATGCCGTATGTGTACATGCTGTATAAAGGATAAATGCTGTATAACATGTACAAATGCAAATGCTGTGCACAAAGTTCCACAGAGCCCACTATCTGTGTGTCCTCCTCTGTGCAAAGCTGGGTCACAGCACACAACTACAACCTGGCACGAGTTCAGGTGAATTTCAAATTCAGAGACCTTGAAAGGGGCAGGGGTAGGGCCAGTGAGTACCAGATTAGGAGGGGCAGGATCACAGGGTAAGGGGGGTCCTGGAGTGAGGGAAAGGGAAGAGAGGGGGTGGAGGCTGAAGCCCACCTGCCAGGAGAACAACGTCTGCCTTCTTCAGGGCGGCACCGCGGTTCTGCCGGATGTGCAGGGGGTGGTTTCGGCCCAGCAGCCCCCGTGCCATCCCGCCCAGGAAGCAGGGGACACCCAGAGTCTCCATGGCAGCCCTGCAGGTCCAGGTAAACGGAAGTGAGTGTGGCCACGGGCCTGCCAGTCCCCACAGGGCACCAGGGAACCAGGGACCAGGAATGTGATAGTAAAGGCAGGGCTGAGGCTTCTCACCGAAGCTTGCTGGCAGGTGTCGGGGGCAGTAGGGCCTGGCTCCCCAGCACCACAAGGGGCCTTTTGGCCCGGCTCAAGATCTCCACACAGCGCTGAACCTGGGGCAAGAGGTGGGGCTCAAAGAGCCGACCCTGAGTCACCATTAGCCCCCAAGATCAAAGTCCCAATACTGACTCAGGGACAGGCCGTCCTGCCAGGTGGGGTCCTCGGCCAGGAAAGAGGGGCAATTTACCTGCTGGGGGGATGCCTGGGGGATGTCCAGAGGTAGGGGCCTTCGGGCCGA